CCCGCGTCTCCTGCATCGGCAGGCGGACTCTCAAGCACTGCGCCACCAGGGAAGCCCCTAATATAATAATTTAAATCAACTATAATTTAATAAAAAATATGTTGCAATTGTAAAAAAAAATAAGTCATTGATATAATTGTTGTTCTTGGGCTTCTCAATGTTATTAGGTACTAAAGAGGATGAAATAAAATATCTAATGAGAGAAGACAACTAGTAAATAATTTTAAAAAGGATAATACTTGCTTAGTAACTTAAAAATCAAACAACTTAGACATATAGGATGGAAATTTTTATGTAGTAGTTAAGTGATTGGAATGTCAGACAGCTTGGGTTTGGATCTCAACTCCACCACCTTAGGAAAGTGCTTAAACACTTCAAGGCACATTTCCGCATCTATAAATTGGGGATAATAATAAAATATTTAATAGGATTGTTAGATTAAATGAAATATATATTAAATATTATTAAATACTACATGAATATATATGTGCATATATATATATATATGTATACATGTTTCATAGCACAACAGTACTTGATACAGAATAACACTAACGGTCCGTTTTCATTTTTAGTGATGGATAAAGTAAGCATGCCGAAGTCAGATAGTGCTAGCATTGGAACTTCATTTTGCTTCTTTCATTAGCTCAGATTGTAAACCCAGAATAAACTGATCCTTTTTTACTCACTTGGCCATTCTATATTACATAATTTCCTAGAAGGTGAGGATTTTAAAATGCTTTTGATGTATTACTTTTATAATCAGCAGAACTATTAAGAAATTTCCATTTTGATAAATGAATAAAAGAATTTTTGAAAATTTGGTTACATCTCAATGTAACCAAACGGTTACATTAACCAAACGGTTAAACGGTTAGTGTTTTATTTGCTACTAGACTAACTGGCTAACTCTGGAGGAATATATCATATTGTTTTCTTTTAATCAAGCTACAGTAGGAGCCTTAATCATGATGGCTTGAAGATGAATGTGCTTGAATTATGAGGCCAAAAACATTTTGTTCCACTCAATCTTCAGTGAATTTGTTCTTAATAGTCAAATATTCTAATTAGATTTAGTCTTTCTTCATATATTTGCTTTAGGAGGCAAACTCTAACAGGAGACTACATCTTTTTTGGATCCTAAATATGATTTTTCCTTTCCTTGTTCAGAAACACAAATGTACATTTTTTTTAACTTTTAAATTGTTGAATATTTGTGATTTAAAACTTTTGTGATTTATAGGAGTTACTACTTGTGATTTAAAACTTTTCTGTTTATAGGAGTTATTTTATACAGAAGTCTTGTGAGACCACTGTGCAAACAAGGTGATGATTGTACAAAGAGTGGTATTGAATTCCCGACCTGGTATGTACTTGTCTGTGATGAATGAACAGCTGTGGTCTTTAATAATTATTAATGCAAATGGAGGAACAAAAAGTAATAATATGATGTAAATGTGGTAAATTAGGTAGGAAGATATTAACACTAGTAGAGATATTAGAAGAAACTCTTTAAACAATATAATATTCATTTAAAATTATTTATTCATTCATTCATTCTTGGCTGCGTTGGGTCTTTGTTGCTGTGCGCAAGCTTTCTCTTGTTGAGGTGAGCAGGGGCTACTCGTTGTTGCGGTGTGCAGGCTTCTCATTGCTGTGGCTTCTCTTGTTGCGGAGCACGGGCTCTAGGTGTGCGGGCTTCAGTAGTTGTGGTGCATGGGCCTAGTTGCTCTGTGGGATCTTCCCGGACCAGGGCTCTAATCTGTGTTTCCTGCATTGGCAGGCGGATTCTTGACCACTGCACCACCAGGGAAGTCCCAATATTCATTTTTTTAAATGATAACTTATCAAGGCCATTTGTTGGGGAAATAAGGTATTTTAAAATATTATAATTTTTAGAAGGTTATATTACAAATATATGTGGCTTTTGTTTTTTCTTTGTAATGTGTATCATTGATTCTTAAGATGTGCTTTTCTGTTTTATGTGAAAAGCACTGACCTATGTCATCCTAGGTCATCTAACCTGACATCTAACCTGAATCATAGAAGCATAGGTATGGAAGTAACCTGAGAGGTTTGGGCCCATGCTGCCTTGGTTTTGGTGCTTACCTAGCATGTGGCCTGGGAAAGACACTTACCTTTTCTCAGTTTTAGTAAAGTGAGCAATTAGATTAAAATGTCTACATTCTATTTTCACCTTATAAATTTGATTATTCAATGAATATGAAGTTTTAATTATATTCATTTAAGTTTCTCTTTTCATCTTAAAATGAGGAAGGACAGTTTACCTCTTTACCTTGGCTAATGTATTTCTGCTACTTTGTAAATGTTAATTTTCATAGTTAAAAAAAAAAGCTGGCTGTGCTTTTTCACTTTTTGAAATCCTTCTATAATTTTATAACAGATGAGGTGATTTACCTGTGATCACCTTAAAAAAGAAATTTTTACTTTGACAGCAATATGCCAAAGGAAATTCTTGGAGAAAACCAAGAGCAAGTGAAACTATTTGAAGAATTTATGCTGAGTTACAGAAAAATTACAAAACAACATGGATTTATCCATGTGTGTATTCCAGGAGTGCTCTAAATCTTAGAGTGACCTTTTAAAAATAATAAATAATTCTATGGGAAAATGACTTTTTGATTTTATATCTTTGCCTAATATTCTAGGAAAAAATGGTAATCCAGTGGCGGAAAATTTCCGAGTAGAAGAAATAAACTTACCAGATAATATCAATGAAGGACAAGTACAAGTCAGAACTCTTTACCTTTCTGTGGATCCTTACATGGTAAGAATCAGGATTTTGTGACTTAGTGAAAATAATTTTATTTTCCTATTTTTTCATGTTGCATCTGAATTTCATTGTGTAAGCCTCATGATTAATAAATATTTGAGGCACTTCCCTGGTGGCGCAGTGGTTAAGAATTCGCCTGCCAGTGCAGGGGACATGGGCTTGAGCCCTGGTCCGGGAAGATCCCACATGCTGAGGAGCAACTAAGCCCGTGGACCACAACTACTGAGCCTACCCTCTAGAGCCCACGAACCACAACTACTGAGCCTGCGTGCCGCAACTACTGGAGCCCGCGCGCCTAGAGCCCATGCTCTGCAACGAGAAGCCACCGCAATGAGAAGCCTGCGCACCGAAACGAAGAGTAGCCCCCAGTCGTCACAACTAGAGAAAACCTGCGTGCAGCAACGAAGACCCAACACAGCCAAAAATACATAAATGAATAAATAAATTTATAAAAAAAAAAAATCACTCTGAACTCTCAGACTAGTCCTTTCTGTTATATTTTCTCAAAACAGTACCTTGACCTTCAGCCTATATCCCAGTTGTAATTAATAATTATTTGTGTTGTTATTAGATATTTAGTTTCCCTAATAAAAACTTATTATGACTAAGATCTTATTTATCACTGTATCTCCAGTGACAAGCATAAGTGCTTATTAAGCATTAAAGGAAGGAAGGAAGAAAATTACTTTGGTTGCTTTCACTTGACACTGTTCTAAAGAAAAAAAAGGACATAAACATCTTTAAAGGGGAAAAAAGAAATCTGATGAACATTAAATTATTGAAATTTTATATCATTCCAAATTCACAAGTAATTTTAATCACTATATATGTACTGTATTTTACATGGTTATATTTAATATGTATATACTATTTTGATTTCATATTTGTGATTTTATATTCATACCTTCATATGAAAAACTAGTCCAGATATTATTATTTTGGTGGTTGTATAACATTTTATTCTGTTGACATCATTTGCTTACCTATGGGGAGTTACTCATTCCCACTTTTTCTATTAGCCTTAAGAATCAGGTTCTTGGTGTGGCCAGTATCCAATGGCTGCTGCACTTGCTTTTCAAGAATATATGGGAGGGGCACACAAGCAGAAGTGTAGTGTATTCCAATAGAAGCTTCTGCCTCAATTCCCTATGTGGTCTTTTCCCCTGGTGAACTGAACCAGACCATGGGGGGCCCCTTGATCAAGCAGCCTTCCATCTATCCCATCTCCTGGACACTGTAGGCTTGTATATCTTGGCCTTCATGAGAGAGGCGAGAGTGAGCCACAGAGAGGAAGAAAGCCTTGATTACCTCCGGGAGAAGTCTTTAGCCCTAGTCCTTTGGAAAGGTGTGGTGCTATTGTGACATTATGTCTGAGGAATAAAGAGAACATCCAGCTGAGGTTAGGGGGAATGTTGTAGTGCTTGGTCTGAAGTTGTGATGAATAACTGTATAAAAATTGTTTCATTTCTCTTTTGGGTTATTTCCATTGAGGAAGCAGTATTGCTTGGCTGAAGAAATGAGCAGTATTATGGTATATATGTTACTAGTTTGTTTTCTATAAAAAAATGGACAGTTTTATAATATTATCAGCAACAGTAAGTGTACCTAATTTGCTACAATCCATTGAAACCATTGACACAGTATCTTGTATTACTTTTGCTAGCATAATGTATGTAATATTACATAAATTTCTTTAAGTAATTAAGAATTTTAACAGCTTTATTGAACTATAATCCACATATCATACAGTTTACACATTTAAACTGTATAATTCAGTGGTTTTTAGTCTATTCACAAAGTTGTGGAACTATCACCACAATCTAATTTTAGAACATACTTAAATTCCTTTTTAATTTCACTTCTTGTTATAGAGGGGATACTTTTTTTCAGGATAAAAAATAACTGAAAGGAAGAGAGAAATTAAGGTAAGTTTTGTTTGGCTAACACCGTACTTAACATTACTTATTACATACTTTCTTTTAGTCACTGGGTAAATTAGTAAACTGTTTCAGTATTATCAGAGAGAATTATCCTAATCTATGTTTTCTTTTCTTAGCGTTGTAGAATGAATGAAGACACTGGCAGTGACTATATATCACCTTGGCAGCTGTCTCAGGTGGTTGATGGTGGAGGTATTGGGATTATAGAAGAAAGCAAACACACAAATTTTACTAAAGGCGATTTTGTGACTTCTTTCTATTGGCCCTGGCAAACCAAGGTTATTCTAGATGGAAATATCCTTGAAAAGGTGATGTATAATATAAAGTATCTGATTTTTCCCCCCTGTAATTCCTTCTTTATGCATTTGGTGCTCAGTTCTTTTTGTTATCAGGGAAAAAATAAAAGCACATGTTTTCTTTTTAGATAGCTGTCAGAATATGGAAAGCCTTTTATTCCTCTTCCACTGTTGGTTGTAACTATGTATGACAGTTCTCAGATTGCCAATGAGTGATGTTGTTTTCCATATTTAATTTCTCAAATTTTACATAAGTGTTTTATACTAAGAACTAGAAGACCCCTTATAGTTGTATGCTTTAAAGTTTTCTGAGAAATTACCACTTGACTTACGAAATTCATTTGGTTTGTGCTTGAAATTCCATCTTGTGTCAGAAATCTTGAGTTCAGTTTCTACTGTTAGGCTGAACCATGTGGAGTTACCAATATTTGTCTGTTTTGACCTACAAAAACTGGCAGCCTCATGTAATTCAGCCTAATATTTGTCACCAAGGAAGTTACCTTATATCTCTGAACCTCAGTTTCCTCATGTGCAAAATGAAAACAATAGCTACCTCACAAGTGAATGTGAAAATTAAATTAAATTTAGCTATGATAAATGTGATTAAGGCTTTGTAAAAAGCTTTATAAAATTTTAGTATTTTTATGATTACAAATTATTATAATCAGTTAAAGATGGCTGTTAAGATAAAATGAGATGTGGGAGACATTACACAATCATTTGCCAACTTGATGGTACTAGTAAAATATATTTAACTAGGAATTTCATAGCAGGAAGTGAAAGAGAAACATTAAGCACTTTCTAGTTTTCCCTGTCATTGTGCTATAGTGGGAAATTGAGCAACTGGAGAGAGCTTAAAAATGTTTGGGGAGTAGGTATTAGAAATGAGGAAGAGGAATTCAGAAGGGATAGAAAAATGATCTTTGCTAAAAGCAAACTTATCTCACAATGTTTTTATACTGGCTTTACTAATAAATGACTATTAACTACAGGATACATTTCTGTGTAGTGTACGGTAGACCTTTCTGTATATTATAGACTTTAATATCTCCATTACTTTTATTCACACACCAGACTTAACTGATAGCCATTTAAAACTGCTGATTACAAACTGCCATTTTCTTTCTTTGTGGCAGACCAAGGTGGCGAATCTTGATTACTTTTGGTGGTTTATTGAGTTTTTACCAAAATTATTCAATTACTTAAAAACTATTATAAAACCTTTATGGTAGGGAGTCTTTCTATATAATTTTTTTTCAATTCTCCCTAATGTTACAGATAAGAAACAGGCACAGAAAATGTGAGAGAAGTATAATTAACTATTGATTGGGCCTGGTAAACATATAAACGTAAAATGCTAAAAAGCTGACAGAGACCTCATTTTATTCTGTAATTAAGCTAGAAGAAATTGTATCACACCTTCCTTACATTTCCATGGACCATTTTAAGCATCAGTAATGAGAACTGTTAGAGTTTGAGCTCATTTTTATATAGATAAATGTTTACTCTGGAATTGCTCAGAGATTTTTAAACGTTCCAGTTTTGCCTAGTGTTTTCCTGTTAAGTGTTTCCTCTCTTTTGAAATATTTGGGACATTGACAAGAAAGAATGTTTGGTATCTCTTATGTGGCAATTCTTTTTTAAAGGTTTTGTAGGTTTTTTTTTTACTATAAAGAGAAGTAATATTCTTTTTTTTTACTTTGTACAAGTAAATGATAGAATTTTAACAAGACTGAAGAATGCTTTACTGTTCTTGAAACTATGTTGGGTTGTTTATTAGTCCACTTGAACTGCCATTACAAAATATCATAGACTGAAATTTATTTTCTCACAGTTCTGGAGTCTAGAAGTCTGAGGTCAAGGTGCTGGAACATTTGGTTTCAGGTGAAGCCTCTCTTCCTGACTTAAAGATGGCTGCCTTCTCACTGTGTCCTCACACAGCATCCAGCCTTTCCTCTGTGCGCCTGCATAGAAAGAGATCTCTGGTGCCTCTTCCTCTTTTAAGGACATAAGTCCTATCAGATTAGGGCCCCACCTTTATGACCTCATTTAACCTTATCTCCTTAAAGGCCCTATCTCCAAATATACTCACACTAAGAGTTAGGTCTTCAATATATGAATTTGGGGGGGACACAATACAGTACTTAACAGGTTGTCTCTACCCTGTTGACTTAAAATGGAAATTCCTAGTATTATTTTTAAAAGGTATGTATATATTTTTTAGGTAGACCCACAGCTTGTGGATGGACACCTTTCATACTTTCTTGGAGCTATAGGGATGCCTGGTTTGACTTCCTTGATTGGGATACAGGAAAAAGGTCATATAACTGCTGAATCTAATCAGACAATGGTTGTTAGTGGAGCTGCTGGTGCTTGTGGATCCTTAGCTGGGCAGGTAAACTTTTGGAGAATAATCTGATTTTCTAAAAAACTAGTCATAACTGAATCTCTGGATATGTGTATATAATTTAAGATATAAAATTGAACAAATTTATGATTATTTTACACATTTTTGGTAGAAGTGATATAGCATGCTTAGACTCTCTTCTTAACAATATGAAATATGTTATAGATTTTTGTATTTTGTTCTTTTTTTTTATTTTATTTTTTGCGGTACGCGGGCCTCTCACTGTCGTGGCCTCTCCTGTTGCGGAGCTCCGGACGCGCAGGCTCAGTGGCCATGGCCCACGGGCCCATACGCTCTGCGGCGTGTGGGATCCTCCCAGACCGGGGCACGAACCCGTGTCCCCTGCATCGGCAGGCAGACTCTCAACCGCTGCACCACCAGCGAAGCCCTGTATTTTGTTCTCTTTTAACCAAAAATGACATGGTAAATGCGAGAGCATTGCTGTAATCAATATGAAGAAGAAAATCACAGAGTACCTGTTTGGAATTACATGAATTAAAAAACAAATTTATATTTAAAAAAAATCATCTTCAAATAAGAAAGCACTTATTGGGTTCGAGAAGTATAGTAAATATTATGATAGAAATTTATAAAGTACATTGTTTTATGAATAATAGCCTTTATAGTGTGAAACCATTGAAACAAAACATTTTACCTTAATAGTGATTTTAGTTGCTCACAGGCCTGAAAAATATTGAATTGCAAGATAGAGATGTTTTGGGTCTGACTATTCCTTTTATGATATCATCTTTAAATTGCAAAATTTTAACATTCAAACTAACTCTAATTGTATTCAATCTTAATTTTTTAAAGAATGCCATTATATCTGTTCTCAGTTCTTTTGGTTTCAAATTACTTTCAGCTAAAAGCCTTATAATCTAACCTCAGTTGTGACGAACACTTTCATATATGTACTTGTATTAACTTTCATACTTTCACATTTTTACATTTAAATTGTGAGAGTAGAAAGTTGTTTAATTTTCAAAAATTTTCCCCCTAGATTGGCCACTTGATGGGCTGTTCCAGAGTTGTGGGAATTTGTGGAACACCTGAGAAGTGCCTCCTTTTGACCTCAGAACTGGGCTTTGATGCTGCAATTAATTATAAAGAGGGGAGTGTGGCAGAACAACTCCGTGAATTATGCCCCTCTGGAGTGGATGTTTACTTTGACAATGTTGGAGGTGACATCAGTGATACAGTGATAAGTCAGGTTGTTTTCTGATTTGTTTGTTATAAATTTGAATATTACAGTTTATTTGATGTGATATCTTTTTATCTGATACTGAGAGAGAAAAAAAAACTTTTTAAAATTGTAGGGTTTGTGGTGAAAAACATGATGGTCAGTATTGTAATTAAGTGATACAGAAGAGTTTGCTGAAGCTACTTCCATTTGTTTGTGGATTTGCACTGTGAGCATCAATTTCAGTTCTTTGCTAGCAATGTTATATTTTCACCTGTAATTTATTTTTGTGAAAAAATACAGTTGTATTATTCAAATGAAATTCTAACCTTTAACTCACTTCTAACCATCAACCAACTTAAATCAACCAACTTACAGCCATGACTTTGGGTAAGGAAAGGATTTTCATAGATTGCAGGTATTTACATATTTTAATTGACAGTGTTACAGTTTATCAACATTAGCTGTTAACACTGCATTGTCCTTTACTCTATGTAAAATTGTTTTCAATTGATGTTAAATTATTTAAATTCTAAGAAATACTCTACCAATAATAACAAAAGTAGCAACAACGATGACAATGAGAACTAACGCAATTCTTTTGCTGATTACCAAACTCTTATTTACTGCTGTGTTCCTTTGGAGTAGACTTATTTTCTAGCTAATTAAAGCTCTCTAATACATATAATGGGTAAGTCTTCAAAACAAAATCAATTAATTGGCATTATAATTATATAATACTAATTATATAATACTATAGGGAATTCCCTGGAGGTGGTCCAGTTGTTAGGACTGCGTGCTTTCACTGCCCAGGGCGCAGGTTCAATCCCTGGTAAGGGAACTAAGATACCACAAACCGAGTGGTGTGGCCATTTGAAAAAAAAAAAAAAGATTAAATATTACAGTCAAGGAGGCTTTCATTGAGGCAGCCATAAAATTAGTAAACATAGGGAAGGTGTATATCTTAGGTTATAATCATCAATTTTCTCTGAACAGATGAATCAGAACAGCCACATCATCCTATGTGGTCAAATTTCTCAGTACAACAAAGATGTGCCTTATCCTCCTCCACTACCCTCTGCTGTAGAAGCAATCCGGAAAGAAAGAAACATCACAAGGTGTGTTCTACGCTTTCCCCTTATTACCAGATTCAAGGGGTTTAAAGATCATGGATGAATACAAAATATGTTGTTCTTCATATATAATTTTTCTTATTAAATAAAACTTGAAAATGTACATTTTAAGGTGGACCTTTAGGTTTTGGTTAACTAGGTCCCTGGCAGAAAACGTTTTGAAAAATGCATCTGTTCAATCAATCTTTTGCAAATCTTTTTTGCGAGTGTCAGAAATTCAACTCATATTGGCTTAAGTGCGAAGGAAATTTATTGGCTCATGTATCTAAGAAATTCAATATTAGTACTGGCTTAGATTTAGCTGGATAAAAGGTTTGCATAGTGGTGTCATGACTCTAGTTTTTTTTTTTTTTGTTTTTTGTTTTTTTGCTGTATGCGGGCCTCTCACTGCCGTGGCCTCTCCCGTTGCGGAGCACAGACTCCGGACGCGCAGGCTCAGCGGCCATGGCCCACGGGCCCAGCCGCTCCGCGGCATGTGGGATCCTCCCAGACCGGGGCACGAACCCGTGTCCCCTGCATCGGCAGGCGGACTCTCAACCACTGCGCCACCAGGGAAGCCCCTAGTTTTTTATTTTTAATTAATTCTTACTTTTGGCTGTGTTGGGTCTTCGTTGCTGCGCGCAGGCTTTCTCTAGTTGTGGCGAGCGGGGGCTACTCTTTGTTGTGGTGCACAGGCCTCTCATTGCGGTGGCTTCTCTTGTTATGGAGCACAGGCTCTAGACACACAGGCTTCAATAGTTGTGGCTTGCAGGCTCTAGAGCACAGGTTCAGTAGTTGTGGCGCACGGGCTTAGTTGCTCCACGGCATGTGGGATCCTCCCAGACCAGGGCTCAAACCTGTGTCCCCCGCATTGGCAGGTGGAGTCTTAACCACTGTGCCACCAGGGAGATCCCATGACTCAGTTTTTCTTCACCCCTGGGCTGTGCTTTCTTCTGGATTGTCTTGGCTCCCTCACGGGCTCTCCTCTTGCAGCAGCAGGAGGATGACTGTTATCTTTACTCTTACATTTTACCAGATTAGCAATCCAAGCAAAAAAGAGAACAGCTCTCTTCTTTCAGTTTTATCACATCTCCAAGCTGATACTTAATGGCTCAGACTGGCCTGGCTTTCGTCACATGAGGGTGGGGAAAGGATGTCACCCATAAAGTAAAATCACAGTGTTACTACCAAATGGGATTATAGATGCTGGGCAGACAATACAGTAGAAGTCCATGATACTTAGGCTTGTAACTACACCTAAAGCTATATCTGACCAGACTCTGTGTGATTAAGTCCTAATGTTTGAAAGATTAACACATTTTAGAGTTCTGGAATGATTTGATTTGGGCTTTCTCACTCCCACCCTAGTCTCTGATCATTATCCTTTTCTTCCCCACTACAGAGAAAGATTTCTGGTGTTAAATTTTAAGGACAAATTTGAGTCTGGTATTCTCCAGCTGAGTCAGTGGTTTAAAGAAGGAAAGCTAAAGGTAGAACTGCTTCTGTTCTTTATCAGTATTATTCTTCCTGCTACTTGATATACTTTTGTATTATTTGAATTTAATATTAGTTTTGTAATAAATATTTCTACAGAAGAAAAGTATACTGAATATTATAAATTAACTTTACCTCCTGAGTGAGGATAACTCTTCTGATTGAGAAACCCTCTCATTATTCCCTTTATCTAAAATTTTATTAATGTTTACTTTTCTTAGACTATATTACAAGATCAATAGGTTTTTGTTTTTTCCAAATTGCAATATTCATTAACAAATATTTATGGAATGCTACTATGAGTTAGAAGCTGTGCTTTCTCGAAAATCTTATAAGCACCTCCTAGTACCTCTCCACCACCATACATCTTTCCTGCCCTCCCTGGACATTCTGATAAATCTCTTGGCTGTGGCTGAAAATCAGGAATTAACGATCTGGGGTCCAGGGACCCTGACCTAGGATGTTCTTGAAATGTGAAAATAATAGGCAAAGTTGTATGTGTGTGTGCTTATATACTTTGTTTTTTGAAAAGAAGGTGTATAGCATGTGATATTACAAACTGAAGATTAGACAATGGGAAAATAGGATTGTACTTAAAAAATTAATTGATAGGAAACTTTTCTGACTACCTACACAAAATGAAGAATATCTCTTTTTAGACAGAAAATGCTAAATAGTATTGCTGCCTTTTGCAAAACTGACTGTTAAATAGAAACACTTAAGTCTAAAGAATATAAAATATACCTATTTTGATTTACAGATCAAAGAGACTATGATAAATGGATTGGAAAACATGGGAGGTAAGATGAATGTAGATTTATTTATTATACACATGAGTTCAGCACAGATACTCTCTTTTTTCTTTTAATTCTACTTCTCTGTTGTTTTTTTCTTTTAAAATCATTTCTTTCCTGTAAAGTCTTGATCAAACTTCATGAAGTTCAACTTAGTGGTATTTAAGAGCCATTGTTTTCTCATTTCAAATTGTAAAGTAAGTGTTTCTTTGGTTTTGTAAATAACTTATGAAAAAAAAATGTGAGAATTGTGAAAGTCATTTAGCCTCTAGGTAACTTTTTCTGATTGAATGGTTCTAAGCCATCATAAGATTACATGAAGCAAAGTTTCAGTATTGGGTCTTTTTTTTTTTTTACTAACATACACAGATTTCAACACTCTCTTTTGTTTCAAATAAAGAGGATTGAATAAAACTGATAATTTTTCCTTTTTGAGAAAAAAATTTAATATACTTGGAGATGTATATTTCACTTAGTAAAACTTTATGACTAGATTTCCAATATTTTAAAGTTATTTAAAAATTGTTATTGCTGACATTTATCCTCATATTTATTTGCCTCTAGTCTTCAGACTCTGTAACAGTGAACATGGATGTAGACACCAATTAATCATTTCTAGTTTGGGTAAAGACACATTTTTAAGATGTTAATTGGGTTAGTTTGTCCTACAACTTGGCCAGTGTTTTACTTGAAGTTTCTTTTCATGACAGTTTCCTTCTGTACTTAAAATCATTGAAGAAATTATTCAAATTAATTGTATGTGTCTGACCTACTGATAAACATGTATGATGGTGACATTTATGTTTTCAGATAACCTAGTTTTTTTTTCTTTCCAGCTGCATTCCAGTCCATGATGACAGGAGGTAACATGGGCAAGCAGATAGTTTGCATTTCAGAAGAAACCTCTTTGTTATGTCTGTAAACATCTTCATTAAGGAAATACACGGATTGCTTTCCGTTTTGCACAAAGATTTCAAGATACATTAAAAAAACCCTTAAGAGTACAGATACCTTTTGATTTAAATGTGATCATAGGTGATATTTTCTTAGCTGCATAACATAATTCTTTCCTATGTCTTCAATATCATATATGTATTCTTCATCCAATATGATTATTTACAATAATAGATTGAAGTCAACATGACCTATTTTTCCTTCTTTTGTTAAAACTAATATTACATGAAATTTATATCAGATATTCTGAAACCACTGGAGATTTGATGTAACTGTTTAATAGATCATACAAAATATTTTTTAAATTAATAACTTTTATTAACTTTATAAGTTGTATTTAAAATAGAATACTTGAGAAGGCACTTAGTAAATATTGAACTGGACATGCTTTACATAATTCTTGAACTGAAGCTTGGTGAATAAATTGGGATGGTCTTTCCATATTATAGATGGAAGAGGGACTTAATTGCAGGGTCTGTGTGTGTGTAGGGGTTTGGGGGAATTCAGAGCTTGTGGAACAGTTTTTGGGGTAGGAGAGCAGAGGCTTTGTGTTGGGAGTAGTATGAGAAATTAAATAACTGAGGTTGGTTAGGTTGATGGAGGGACTAGATTTACTACAGAAGATATGTGTTTTGCCAAGTAGTTCACAGTATAGCCTAAAAACTCAAATATATATATTGATAAAAGCCTACGTTTATATTAGGTTAGCAGGCACATACTGTCAAATAGTTACAAAGATTTCAAGGGCAAATAGATATAGACATCAATTCAAGTTTTAAGTGATGAAAAAGATTTAAACAACAAATACAGCTTCGGGCTTCCCTGGTGGCGCAGTGGTTGAGAGTTCACCTGCCGATGCAGGGGACGGGGGTTTGGGAAGATCCCACATGCCGCGGAGCGGCTAGGCCTGTGAGCCATGGCCATTGAGCCTGTGCGTCCGGAGCCTGTGCTCTGCAACAGGAGAGGCCACAACAGCGAGGCCTGCGTACCACAAAAACAAAAACAAAAACAAATACAGCTTCAGAAAATGACAGAACTGAGTGAGCAAAGTAACAAATGTTCATAAAGATGGGTGTTCAAGACCTATTAATGTACCTCTAAATAAGAGCAGTTGTTTTATTAATTGTAATCAACCCTTTAATACAGTAAAATTGAGGATATTTTCTGAGTGTTGTGCTGGCTTATGGTCAGCTGTTTACAAACTGCAATATACTTTTGTGTAGATTCGAACTGTGTTAGTAATCAGTCACTCCAGTTGACCTCAGTGGCCTTCGCTTCTTTCTTGTTTTATATACTTTTCCAGAGAGAGCTGCATCTCTTGTCTGTGTGTTGATAACTCCCAAATCTGTATCTTATTTCTGACCTCTTGAGCTAGGTAGGGACCTTTACCTCCAATTAAATATCCCATAGGCACCTGGAATAGATAAACTCGGCTTATCTAAAGAGGAATTATCTTCCTCTGAAACATGTTCCTTCTTTGTTTTCAAATCACCATCATTGGTGTACTAAACCACTCCCCTGGTTTCTTCAACCTTGTCTCTGTCCTTGAAAATGCCCTTCTTACAAAACACCTTTAATTCCCACTGCCACTATCTTAGCTCAGTCCCTCCTTCATCCTTTGGCACGCAGCAAGTATTCAAAAATTAGTAATTTCACAAAGTCAGTCAAACACATAAAGCTCTAACAAGTTGCGGCATCTGGCCTGAAACTCAAAGTGTTCTGGCACCGGTGTGGACATCGGAGAGCTCTTTACATCCTACTGTACTGACGAAACCCAGACTCTAGGGACTTCACCTTCCAAAAAAAAGTTATACACCGGAGTCTCAATTCTTACCCCACCTGGTATGCAATGCAGAACTAGATTCTGCAAGTTCCCTTCTCGGGCAGTGAAGCTTCAAGGTCTTCACTAAGAACTTTGATAAATGTTTTAAGTAGTGATCTTTTCTTTCTCGCTTGCCTCCATTGCAACATGTACTGATCTCAGCTGACAGGAGATAACTACCCCATCCGCTGCAGTAGGGAAGCAGTGACGTCACGCCTAGAATTGACCCCGTTTTTCGGGCTTCGCAGACCACGGAGCTACAAAGACCGAGAGGGAATGAGTGGGAGGCAGGAGACCGCAGTGCCTTTCTTCTCCGAGCCAAGCCTGCCTGGCCCGCGCAGGCCAGCGGCCCCCGGGGCGGAACCTCCTGCTGGACTGCAGCAGCCCGGCTCGGAGGCGAGCGAGTGGGTGTGTGTGTGGGGGAGGCGGCCAAACTTCCTGTCCCGCGCTCGAGCTGCTTCCGGCGGGAGCCGGAAGACGCTCTGTGTGGACAGAATTCGGGGCCAACTGACGGACGGACGGCTGCCCGGGACGGAAAGGTGAGCTCCGGGGTGGCCCTGACCGACCCGCTCGGCTAGGTGGTCCCCGAGAGGGAGGGAGCCAGTGCTGGCTCCTCAGGGGCTTGGGCCGAGTTTGCCCCCGGAGAGGACAGGGAAACCGCCCCGGGGCACCCCACCCGGATCTGGAGCGGCCGGTCTGAAGCCCTACGGCTTCGGCTCTTCTCGCGGGCTTTTGGGGCATATGTTTCGGCTCCTTCGCTTGGTTTCGGGGCCAGGGACATGGGGACAAGACCAACCTGGAGAAAGCCAGAGTCAGCGAGTCCCCGCGGCGGGGGGGCCCGCGGCTTCGGCTCTTCTCGCGGGCTTTTGGGGCATATGTTTCGGCTCCTTCGCTTGGTTTCGGGGCCAGGGACATGGGGACAAGACCAACCTGGAGAAAGCCAGAGTCAGCGAGTCCCCGCGGCGGGCGCTCCTGGACTGCACCCTCCGCGAGGCCTGCCTGCGGACCTTGGGGCCCTTCACTAGGCTGTTGTAATGGGGGAACGAGGATGTCAAGGCGACTCTGCCCTGGACATTTCAGCCCAGATCTACCCTCTTCTTTCGTACGTCCGCTTACTTTCCCGGTCTAGAAGAAGGAAGGCTGCCGACTCGGAGGGTCTGGGCCACTGGTTTCTCCTTTGCGTGTCATTTCAAGGCGAGGGTGTGGGCTGTGAGAGTCTACAGCCTTATGCATTTCGCAGGTTGAAGTTTCTTCAGAGAAAAGAATTCAGTTAGTTTATTAAAGTTTATCTCACTTGCTCGTGAGCCTCTGAAATGCATTTAGGAGCCATTTGAAAGTTAAATATTATTAACTTAGAACTTAAGATTTTGTATTTCTTCCTCACTTTGGCACAAGGACCAACACAGCGTATTTGCAAAGAGAGTAAAAGAAACATTTTAAAATAAAGCCAGGGACATTTTGTTATTGTTGGGGAGTGAGAAATTCCACTTTGTGTTATCTTCGTGTGAGACAAGGTCAACTAAACTCGCAGTCAAAAGATTTAGGTTCTAGTTTTTTAAGTTTTACATCTAAGTAGAGGTCTAATTTTTGGCAAGTTAATCTCTAGCTTTGGACTTTTTTTTCCCTCTGTAAATGCAGGGGGTTACCTATTCATTCAGCAAAGATTTCCTGAATGCTTAGTTTGTGTAAAGCATCAGTGGAGAAGGGAGAAGGATGGGAGAAGGATGATAAATTCAATGAACCTTAACCAGTGAGAAAAATATGCAGGTAGACAACTGACTCCCAAGGCAGGCTGAAATAATTGCTAAAGAGAGGTTAAGCTGTGTTGTGAGAACACCGAGGGAAGGACAGATTTGTTCTGACTGGAGGGAAAAGGGTCTTCATGGAGGATGGTGTATGAGTTGGATTTTAAAGACTGGAAAGGATTTCAAAAGATCACAGCTGGATTGGAGGGTTTTATTACTGGAGGGTCTTATTACTGAAGAACTATCACAAGGGAAAGGGACCTTGAGCACTAAAATAGGTTGGAGTATTCATTTAGTAGCCAGTCCAGTGTGTACTGGAGAAAAGGGTTCATTGAGGAATATAGTGGATGCTGCAGTTGGAACGGTATTTGAGGACATATTGTTGAATATTTAAAATGCCCTGCTTAGGGATTTTACTTAATTCTGAAGCACTGAACTTTGGGTAAGGGAAGTGACGTAAGCATTTCTGTGTTTTGGAAAGATAACTCGAGTGGCTGCATAAAAGATGGAATGGAGGGCTTCCCTGGTGGCGCAGTGGTTGAGAGTCCGCCTGCCGATGCATGGGACATGGGTTCGTGCCCCGGTCCGGGAGGATCCCACATGCCGCGGAGCGGCTGGGCCCGTGAGCCATGGCCACTGAGCCTGCGCGTCCGGAGCCTGTGCTCTGCAACAGGAGAGGCCACAACAGTGAGAGGCCCGCGTACCGCAAAAAAAA